ATATATATATATATATATATATATATATATATATTGGAATGTCCAGAGGACCAGATTTAACGTTTTTTGGATTAAGACTTGAGTATTTATGCAGTAACTTATTTTTCATTACATAGTTTTATTTAATTGGCACTACTTTGTATAAATCAGCTAGTTTATATGGATCATGACTGCTAAAATAATAAGCATCCAAGTGGTGAATACTTTTATAGACTCTGTATAAATGACATTCTGAGTTTCCTAAGAAGTTGGACTCATGTCACGAGGCGGGGCCTCTTTTCTTCTGGGGGGGCCTAAATAGTCTCAGATCACCTCACCCCCCCATCCAGACCCGTCTGCATCATGTCAGACGGATAATTATTAATCAGACAGCTCAGAGGTCATTACAGCGAGTCGGCAAAGAGGATTTTATTGTTGCGCTTTTTATGATCAGTGGCATGAATCTTCACTGGTCCCGTCTGGACCTCAGCTGGGGAGGCTCGCGTTCGTCTGCCGCAGAAGTGACCAGGGGAGAGGAGTGACAGCTGTTTCAGACTCACAAATGTTGTTCTGGCAATCCTACACCGAAAACTTCCAGCTTTCTGCGCCCAAACACGACGGCGGCAGCTACACACGGTGCGCAGCTCGCAAACACTTTTGTTTGCTTTATGGTGTCTAAATGCTAGCAGCGTTAAAAGAACACGTTGATACGCCATTTTGCCTCGACTTTCTCCAATAAAACGTTCTCTTGTTTGTGTTTAGTACTCATTTATTTGTCAATATGTGGCGGTTGTGTACGTGCTGCGTTTGTTGACGTTTACTTTGTAAATAAGTACTTTCTGGGAGGCGGAGCCAAGCTACAGTTGGACACAATGACGGAAGCTCCGAGGCTCCTGATTGGCTAATCTTTCTGCGCTGGGCACAAGAGACGACTCCTGATTGGTTAGTTTTCGTCCTGGCATCGTTCTGAGGCTGGCGGTGGTGGTGACCCAGCAGCTAGCTAACGCACACAGCCAGTCTGTATGTCGAGGGAGCCATGTTGATGCTTGTTTCTGTGTCAAACGTTACGTTCTGGGCGGTGAAAGGGGTGCGAGTTAAAGACGGGAAGCCTCAGCGGTGATTCAAGACCCACGATGAGAAGAGCGGAGCGGACTGGGACGGTACAGGCAGCGCTAGAGGAGGAGAGCTGGTCTTAGGTCACCGGGCAGACGACTCTAAGCAAATGAAGTTGATGCTAGTTAGCTGTGCGGACGCTGCGTGGGATGCGGGTTTCGGACTTCCAACAATAGTTTGTTAGCTTGTTGCGTTTCACTGAACGAACCAGTCAGCCTGGTGGCTGCCTGGAGTGACGAGGCTGCTAAATCCGCGCTAGCTTTGGCAAACTGGCTTTGTGAAGCTAGCGGCTAGCGAGGGTTAGCATGCTGACAATCAGCTCGCATCTTCTGCCACGACTGTTTGTTAGCTGAGAGGGCTCCAACTTATTGTTTCTGTCGAATAGTTCACGAGAGTGGGAGGTGTGGGGGGGAGCTTTTCAGACGCAAAGTAGAAATATGGTGGTGGATTCACTCCCCGTGGGAACCGACCATTTCGCAGCCTAACTTTCCTCCTCCTGCAGTACCGCTGCGGAGCCCTCTTCCTCCTCTTCCTCTTACCTGAAGCAAGCTGGCGGCCCTCCGGGTAGAAGCCGAGGACAAGGATCTGGGGCCGATGGCCTGGGTTCTGAAGATGGACGATGCCGCCATCGAGTCGGGGCTCGTGCACGACTTCGACGCTAGTCTGTCGGGTATCGGACAGGAGCTGGGAGCTGGAGCCTACAGCATGAGGTTAGAGACGGACTCCAACATCTTCATCATGGGGCAGTGGGTTAACGAGGACAACAACAGTCTCGGCCCTGTTTTGTTGCCTTCCAGGGCGTCATGGTTTCTCTTTGTTTAGGGAGCCACAAACATTAATTTATCTAACTCCAACACACAAACACAGTTTATTATACCATTCCAGGAAAGCTCGTTAAATCAGCCCACCCTGTTGCTCAAATTATGGGTGTATTACTGAATGATGCGTAAACTTTTGTCTCAACGAGGAAGTCTGTCGAAATGCTGCCTGTTTTTGAACCTAGTGGTATGTGAAAACAAAATGTTGTTTATGTCTGAGCAGTGGTTCTGATTCAGCTTGGAGTGTGGGTTTACTGGCTCTGATTTAAACATCATTGGCTCTTTTGCTCCCTGTTAATCAGTAAGGAGTCACATTGATTGAACATTATATTTTAAATAAGATAACAGGCATTAGGATTTTTCTGCGTTCATTTTTGTGGTTTAAATCAGAAGTAGCATTCTTTAAACGAATGCATATCTCCCGCTGTCTTTCACGGCTGTTTAGATCAACAACAATCATCTTGTGTTGAGAATCATAAAAATAACATGCTTTCACGCTCATATGCTCTCATTTGGAGAGCAGTCTCAGCTACTACCACCAATTTATCATTTTTGTGTTTTAATGTTTGACTTTGTGGCAGCCACATTGAATAATGTTGACTAAAAGGTCACAAGATATTTTGCTAACAGGCAATAACATTATCTGTCTTTACCTTTACTCAAACATTAAGCTTAATATTTCTACTTTTTGTTGTTGTTGTCTGATAAGGAGGCTATTAGTTATAGTAACAAATATACATCGATGGCAGTCGATTTAAATGACAAAGAACTAGAAATAGGCTTGAATATATCTAGACATCTGTGCATCACAAAATACTGACGTTGAGCATGCACATTAATAATTGCAAAAGGGTCCACAGAGAAATTATTTCAAAACATGCAAACACAAATTCGTACAACATTGTAGAACCAAAAGCACACTACTGCCGTCATATTTGCACTGACATAATAATTAAGTATTTTATCCCATTAGCTTTAAATGCAGTGAGCAAAACTTTGAGCCTTTTTGTAATTTTATAAAAATTAAGAAATCCATGCAGTCCAGAAATAAAACCTTATTTTTGTGATGCCAACCTTAAAAATATGACACAAGCGTTGTCACTTAAACATTTATTCTGTGATAGGACTTCTAAAATGCTGCTTGGTCAGCAACACGTTTATAATCATATAATGTCTGTGCAGGATGCACGAGTGCTTCCTGTGAAAGGTTTTTAATTCTATAATAATAACTTGTAGCGACGTTATTAAGCACCTGTTCACTTGCTTGTTTATAAGTTTGTGTGAAAGGTCAGTGGGAGGCCGTGATCTTTCTACGAGTAGGACAAGCAAGTGTGTCTTATCAGCAGCCCCTTCTTCCATCTGCTTTTAGTGTGTTTATCCGAGTGTGACGTTTGTGTGTGACAGTCGCTTGTGGGTTCAAGCGAGTTCGTCCGTACTGCATTCATGGCATGCACGTTGGTGAATTTGTGAAAATGGAGAATGGTATCTGTGATGCTGGGGCGGGTTGAGGGGTGCGAGTCAGCAGCTGGTAGGGACAAAATGTCTTGATGTGCATCATGAAACACTCCTCAGATTTCTGGATGCAGTCAAGTTGAGGTGGCGTGGCTCAGCGGGCCTACAGTACTCGAGTTGGCAGGATCAGGCTGAAAGCAAAGGGTCAGACAATTTGTTAGTAGTTTGTAATTAGTTTTAAGAAGTCCCACAGTCTGCTGCTAACTACACTGCTGGACTCACGATGTCCAAAACTTTGAGTAATGAAATACTAAAGTTTGCATATTTTGCATAAATGGGGTTTGTTTTTATTTTTCCCAAAATGCACTGAGATTAACGCACATACTCTGCTGACTTGGCACCCACGGACACACCTGCAGCATTTGTTTGGGTGAGCTGAGGACAGGTCGTCTGAACTGTGCCAAGCGTGAGAAATGTTAGCAGCTCTGTCTGTCTCTGGGGGTTTTTGCTCGTTTATTCTGCTACAACCTCATAAATACATACCAGTAATAAGAGGACTGTTTGATCTGTGGATGAAGTCCACGTACAGCCGGTTCATTTATTAATCCCACTCTTTGACGGGGTTAAATATTGTCCAAGAATGTAAGTGTGACACACCTTTCTGATGCATTAGATATGAGGAACTCTTGATGAATAAAATATGTTTTTGCTGTAGTTGTGATAATAAACAAAAACAAAAAAGATCAACAAACTACAAGCAAAAGATCGGAGACTAAAGTCGAGCTCTAAACAGGATATCTTCAAGCTGTGTCACATCTGTCCGTTTCCTCTTTTTCTCTGTCTCTCAGCGATGTGCTGGCTCTGCCCATCTTCAAGCAGGAAGACTCCAGCCTGCCTCCTGAAAATAAGACCAAAAATCCCCCATTCCAGTATGTGCTTTGCGCCGCTACATCACCTGCTGTCAAGCTACATGACGAGACGCTCACATACCTAAACCAAGGTGATTCACACATCGCAGTGTACATGTTTTGGCAAAAGTTACCATCTTTTTTCCTTCAAAGAGAACCGTTAAAGCAGTTTTTGTGTTTGATGGATTTTGGACACTTCCTTACATTCTGGAGTTGCACTTTTTTTTATTATCAGTAGATGAAACTAAACTTATCCCTCTTCCTTCTACACAACAAACACTTGTTTTCAGGCATGATCTCTACCCATACACACATAAATGGATTAAATAAAGGATCTAGCATCTATAGACGCTCTTCAGTATCTGACCCTCCACAATTTCTAGATGCTTTTCTGTAAAGTGAAAGTTTATTATTCAGGCTAAATCTCTACCTGTGACATGTCCTGATGGTTTACACTATCTGGGACAATGATTCCCATTCCTTAAGTTTGTTGTAAGTTCATCCATCACATACTTCACAAGAAACTCAAGCGCAGGACACTTTTGAGTGCACTACCTTAGGCGCTAGCGGAAAAGCAAGACTGTTGACATTTCCGCATTAACCGCTCCCACTTCAAATTTCTGACCACAGTAGTTGTCAGGCAATATGAGAACAAAACGTTTTGCTCAGGTGATGTTGAGACTAAACTGCAAGGACTCCCAAAGCAGGGCTGTGATATAACAATCCTTTTTTTTTTCAGCTCTGGAAGAGAAAAAAAACATTTGTAGCAACCTTTATCCTCACAGCCTCTGCAAGTTTTAGATGTTTTCCTGCTTCATCACACCTGATTTAAACTGATGGGTGATTAACAGGCTCCTGCAGAACTTGTTGAGGTCATTCTTTCCTGTTAATCGGGTGTTCTGCAGGACTGGAAGCTCTGAGAACCAGCATTGTGGAAACATCTGCGTCAGGTTGAGACGGTGCTTTTTGTAAAAGCTCAGTTATGAACGTGACTGTGAAGAGCTAATCAGAAGTATAGGTTTTTATTTTACTGACTTTTAGGCTCTGAGGTTCACTTCTGGGGAGAGGTAAAACGCCATATGATTTCTGCAACAAAAACTGTAATCTGTGAGTGAGGGTAACATAAATTCTGCCCCTTTTTTGTCACTGTTTAGTTGGAGATGGTTTGAAAAAAGAAATGCATTTTAAATCCTTGCTCACCTTCAGATTTCATGTTATTCAAGCACGTTTTAAATTTCTCACTAGTATTTATCTTACCAGAATATGTTCATAGCAACAAGTCTAACCAGTTTTTACACATAGAGTTGTAAATACAAGCAATCTTGAGTGTCTCATTCAGATTAAAGATTATCTATTGTCATTCTAACATTGTTTTTTGAATGGCAGCAGCGTGACACCCGCACAGTAAATTATCTAATGATTGGTCGGTAAATAACAGCAGCATTTAGCTTGCTAACTGTTTTTAACTGAGTGTTTTCATAAGTGTAGTCTAAACTGGTAAGGACATAATTTTAGCTTATTTCTGACACGTGATATAGTTGAAGGCAAGTTTAGTCTTGCTTTATTTTTTTATCTTTGGACAAACAAAACAAAGCCTGAGAGCTGATAAGATCAATGAGAATGTTCAGGAATTAGTTGTGCGACTGAAAACAGTTTTATTTCACGTCATCTAAATAACTACAAATAAATCATGTTTTTTGTTATTGAGTCTATGAAATTACAAAACTTCCATTCTTTTTCTCCGTTTTGTGCTTTCTGTTTCATTCAGGCCAGTCTTATGAGATTTTTTTGTTGGACAACAGAGAAACAGGAGAGTTACCGGAGCTGAACAACAAGATGGTGAAGGTGGGAGAATTACTGGATAAACATCTGCTTCTCGTAACTGATGTAACTCGTATCCAACACGTGTGTTTATCTGTAGAGCACAGTGCGAGTAGTATTTCATGACCGACGGCTGCAGTACACGGAACACCAGCAGCTGGAGGGCTGGAAGTGGAATCGTCCTGGCGACCGTCTCCTTGACATCGGTACATACCTGCTGAGAAATGTTTACTTCAACTTTCTCGTGTGTGCGTGTGGGAGTTGCAACTCAAATATCCGCGTGTGTGTGAAACAGATATTCCCATGTCGGTTGGCATTGTTGAGCCGAAGACTCACTCCTCCCAACTTAACGCTGCAGAGTTTCTGTGGGACTTGAACAAAAGAACGTCTGTTTTTGTGCAGGTAGAGCACATGATCAAACCTCAGACACACACATCCCCACTCTCTTTCATGCCCTCAGCCGTGCGCGCCTCTGAATTTCCACATCAAACGCGAGCTTTGATGGCCCCTGTGTCCTCTCGTGTCCTCGCCGCCCGCAGGTGCACTGCATCAGCACAGAGTTTACTCCCAGGAAGCACGGTGGAGAGAAGGGCGTCCCCTTCAGGATCCAGCTGGACACGTTCGCTCAAGGAGACGGTGGAGAGTACACAGAACACCTCCACTCTGCATCCTGCCAAATCAAAGTCTTCAAAGTATACACTCAATCTCATGCAGAGAACATTCCTGACATTTTTATGGTTGCTTCTCAACCCAGGCGGTGCGTGCACTCGTCTTTAATTTGTGGTTTCTTTTTCTTTGCTTCCTGTTTAGCCGAAGGGGGCGGACCGTAAACAAAAGACTGACAGGGAGAAGATGGAGAAGCGCACTCCTCAAGAAAAGGAAAAGTACCAGCCTTCCTATGATACCACTATCCTATCAGAGGTCAGTATGCATCGGCTAATGGTCTTTGTTCAGACCTGTCACTAACGTGTCCTGGTTTAAAACAACCACAAGATGGCAGCTCTAAATTAAAGGTGTGGACACACTGGGGAGAGGTGTATTCAGATCAGATTCGGAGGTGGTCCTGTTTTGTGTAGCAGCCTGAACACCGATCCATCCTGGGCCACGTTAATGAGCCATCAAGTGAACTGATAAGACTCCGCACAAACCGTCGTTACCTGACAAATATACGAATAGATAAAATTATCCAAAATACTCCCTGAAGTTAGAACAATTCAATGGTAATCTGTGGGAATAATCTGACATTTTACATGTATTTTTTCCCGTAAGGGTTTTAATGAAATGTCAGAATCCTTCACAGTGAGCAAATTTAAAATAAAAAAAGTGCTTGTATTAAATCGTTTAGTAGATCGCTATGATTCTTACTGAGTGCGTTTCCTCTGTAGCGTGATGCTAGCTCCTGCATTTGGAGCTTGCGTTTACAACCTAGTGCAAGTGCCAGCGTTTTCGAAAAATAAATGATTAAATACGACTGGTGAATCTGAAACGTAAATCAGGTGACTGAAGGCATCAGTTCTGCAGCTGTCCACTTGTTTATTGGCAGAGTGGCTACATGTTTATTTGCATTATAAAGCGGGTAACTGAGATCTGATCACGAAGAACACGTTTTACTTCCAGGTGTAAAGACTCGTACTTAGAGCTGTCTGCTTGTGACTGCACGCTTGTCAGACACAGGTCAAAGAGTGCATCACTGCCAGCAAAACCTTAAGATTTAATAATGTGACTTTCTTTTATTTCTGCTCATTTGACAGAAATTTAACTTATTTTTCTTTGATGTCAGAAAGCATCGCATGCCATCATATTTCTATTAGTCTCTGTTAACATCTTTCAGTCATTAAGACCTTTTGTTGTGGTCCACAGAGCTCTCTGGTTGTTTCCTGCACGGACGCTGCCTCGTATTTCTTGCAGTTAAACGTTTTTGTGTTGCCTTGTTTTCAGTGACGTCTGTTAGAGACGTTGGTGTTGCATTGCGTTCACAAAATCCTGACTTATATTAGGTTTTAAAAATCAAGTTTTAGTCCAACTTGTTCACAATAATCCCACCAAATCCTGCATGTTTTCTTTGCTTTTATTTCCTCAGTCCAATAAAACATTTTTATGCATCTTAAAGAAAACATTTGATCAATTTCGTGTAATGTTTTTTGTTGTGACATAAACTAAAACCACTTCCTGTTACAGAGGGGAGTCTCACACGCTTAAGAAAAGGGTTTGCAGTGTAGTCGACATGCAAAACCAGGTTTTTGAAGTGAAGATGTGGTACACTGCCTCGAGTTATTCACCCCAGGTGTTGCAGTAGTGACAACATAAACAACAAACATGAAACTTTTTGTCATGTTCGGAAGCAGCGGTGTTAATACATTTAACTTTCTTAAAGGTGTATTAACGTCACTGTTTATTTATTTCCCTCCTTGTTTCTTCAGATCAGGTGATTTACAGATGTAATCAAGCACCGAATCAAATGTTGTGTGTGTTCAAATGACACTGGTGCTTTTAGATCACATGTTGAGGTTTGTGTCATGGTTCTGTCTGGAACAACCTGGATCTCGGTGTGTTTGTGTGTTTGTTTGTTTGTTTGTGTGTGTGTGTCGCTGGCTGGCTAACCTCTGCTGTGTGTCTGTGTAGACGAGGCTTGAGCCCATCATAGAGGATTCGGGCGACCACGAGCTGAAAAAGTCCAGCAAGCGGACACTTCCCGCTGACTGTGGCGACTCCTTGGCCAAGAGAGGCAGTGTAAGCACCCCCTCTCCTCTCCTCCACTCCTCCTCCTCTTCCTTATCACGCCATCCACCTTCTTTTTAGGACACTTAGACCCTTGTTGGTGTGAAGGGGATAGTATAATCCCTGATGTTTGTCAGTAGGAGGGGTGGAGATGGTGCAAAGCTAGATTTTTAATAAATATTAAATTTAAACTTTCTGTTCATTTGATGTTGCTGTTGTATAATTTGTGTGGTTCTAGTTGAGTATTTAGATTTGTGTGTCTCTCCTCAGTGCTCGCCATGGCCAGACGCCGCTTTCCCCAGCACCAACCAGGCAGCTACCCCCTCCTTTACCTCCACCCCGCTGTCCACCTACTCAACGTCCTCAGTACTGGACAGGTACTTATTAGTGTGAATGTGTTAGGTTTTGTTTGATTTGAAATTATATGATTAGTTTATGTTTCCACTCTTAATTGTTTGTTTTCCAGCGACTCATCCTCTCCCAATCACCAGGCAGACCCTGGGGTCCAGAGCAACTCAGAGGTTAGTGGGTAGACTTACAGAAACAGTTTTTGACAAAAGATGTTGGTTTGTCGCAGGAAGTGTACCGATGTAATGCATTTAAACTTTGGCACCTTCCTGTGACGAGTTAAAATGTGTACATTTTGCACAGTTTTACACTGCAGCTCTGCTCGTTTGTCACTATGCTTTAACACAATTTTCAGCATGCACACTTCTTAGAATTTAATACAATATGGATGCAGTTGTAGTTCTGTAGAGCCTCGTGAAATCTGTTGTACAATCATCTGTTTTTCTTGTTTTGACCTCTTTTTTTAATGATGTAACCACATTTTCACCTGAATGCTGTATTTTTAATTACCAGATTACGGTACTTGCCGCCGTACACATCACACGCCGTAAAAGTCGCATCAGTCCAAATATGTCTAATAAAGTGAAAAAATATAAATGCGTTGCTTTGCTGTATAAGTCGCATCTATTATGTGTCACCGCTGACCACCCAGAAGTATAGGCCAGTGTTGTGCCAAAAATTGATTGGCTGCCAAATGGCGGGAGCATGCACGGGAGGACTTTAACAATAATTTAACAAGATAACCACTTAAAAACAATTTTTTGCTCAAAATTGTAGCAAAGGCGTGTCTCAGTCTAACTTTTCCTTAATAAATGCACTTTAATGGTCAAATCAGCTGCATTTCTCCTGGGCAGTGCGGCAAAATGCAGCTGATTTGACGTTTGCTCCAGGAGTTCTGGAGCGAGATGAAGGTGGCTTGTATGGCAAGCCAAGTGTCTCATTAATAGCCACTTTTACCTATTAATGAGACACTTGGCTTGCCATATATTCGAGCCCTCTAGTGGCTGAACATAGTAGTGTTCAATATTTTCAATGTCAGAATTAATGAAATTGTCAGCTCTCAGCCAAAAATTGGGTTCTAAATATGGGGGGAAAACATAAATAAGTCGCTTCACTGTATAAGTTGAAGGGCATGCTAATTTATGCAAAAAAGTGAGACTTATACAGCAAAAATACGGTATTAGAAATTTCAACAATTTATTAGTAAAATATCCAGAATTTCATATATTTTTAATTATTTTAATAAGTGTTAACTCAGTAGAACATTCAATGCTTTATTATGGAGCTTAAGGTTTTGACATTCAGCTCTGTGGTTTTTGTCTGTGTTTTTTTGCATTGTGCAAGTCACTGCTGCAACAAATCATCCATCCATTATCTTTTAACCGCTTCTTCTATTTTGGGTCACGGGGGTCGCCAGTGCCCATGTCCAGCAATCACTGTGTGAGGGACGGGGTACACCCTGGACGGGTCGCAAGTCCATCACAGGGACACATAGAGACAAACGAGACAAACAACCATTCACTCTCTCACTCACACCTAGGGACAATTTAGAGTTACCAATCAGCCTAACATGCATGTTTTTGGTTTGTGGGAGGAAACCGGAGTACCCGGAGAAAACTCACACATGCACGGAGAGAACATGCAAACTCAACCCAGAAAGGCCCCCGGCCGGGATTTGAACCAGGGACCTGCTCGCTGAGAGGCAGCAGCTCTACCAGTTGCGCCACCGTGCTGCCTGCAACAATCATTAAGTGAATATATAGGGGTGTAAATCACCAGCTTTACCACAATATGATATTATACTGATTTGTTTGTATGACAATACGATTTTTCTCAATATCACAAAGTCTGTCACGATACGATTTCGATTCTATTCGATTCACAAGTCTGCGATCGATATATTGCGATATCAAATGCCCATCTCATTTACATACAAATACATTTACACAAACAATTAAAATGTAATTTAATCTTTTTATTTCTGTTATTACAGGCACCAGGCATTTAAATAAATAAAAAAAACTTTTTTTCTTAATTAATGACAAAATAAAAAATAAATGACTTGTTCAGTATAGTCTCACATTTGTCATGTTTAAGTGCATTTTTAAAACCAGTTAACTTAAAAGTGCCCTGATTAACTTTCAGTTATAATGAAACAAAAATAGATATTGAGCTTACATAACATGGCTCTCAATGCATGTTTCTTCTTCAGGTGAACGGACAAATTTGTTGTTTCCCGAGTATTTTAACTCACACTGGCACCGGCACGAGTTTTGTCTGTTGAGCCGACCTTCTGTTGGGATCCAAAATATTTCCACAGTGTTGATTTAAATCCAGCAGGAGAGTGAATTTCATTATCTGTTTTCTGCCTCGTCTGCCATGTTGCTGAGGCGGCTGCAGAGCGCAGCTGCAGAGCGCGGCTGCAGAGCGCGGCTGCGCGCAGACGTGCCTTGGGAATTTCGAAATAAGAGCCAATTTTAAAGATGACGATTATGAATCGTTGTTTTAGTTTTGCCACGATATCATTGAATCATTAAACATTTAATCAATATATCGATGTAAGTCGATGTATTGTTACACCCCTATGACTATACATACAAATATTTCAGATTGTAATAAATAGGCACACTAGCCTATTGCAGGTTCCCATGTACTGTTTCAATTTGCTTTTCACCCATTGATAACATTTATATTACCCATCGCTTTAGGTTTTTAGAATTTAAAATGCTATTTTTAACATTTTACATGATACACAGTCAAAATATTTTTTATGGTTAAAGCTTGCTATATTAATGGTTATGGACAAATGTGACATATTTTAATCATGCAAAATGTTTCCTCAAGGCTTTATGACTTTTTGGAGGATATTAACAGATTTAATGACTGGATTATTTCCTCTGCTTTGCAGCAGTTGAGCCCCACTGCCTCCATACAGGACACACAGAAGTGGCTGCTGAAAAATCGTTTCAACTCCTACGCTCGACTCTTCTCGCATTTCTCAGGTACGCACAAAAGTGACTTCATGACCACAGCAACAGCTCGGATGTAACTGATGATGTGAGGGCGGGGTCGTTTAAAATGAACTCCAGCTTGCTGATAATCTCGTGAGGCCAGCGAGCGTTGTGATCGGACCTTTTGGCTCTAAACGTCAGACGAGCATCTTGCATGTCTTAATTTGGCTGAGGAGAAAGTTTATAAAACAAGTTCAGTGTTTCACCTGCTTGTACACTGTTTGAGTAATAATGACATTATTACAAGCGACTGATCTTGTTTTTTGTAGGTTCTGATTTGTTAAAGTTAACTCGGGATGATCTGGTTCAGATTTGTGGGACAGCAGATGGGATTAGACTCTTCAATGCACTCAAATCCAGGTGACTTTTTTTTTTGGTTTACTTTGCTAAAACAAATCTTTTCTCCATCTATAGCTGAAACACACAACAAATTATTGTGTTTCACCTTTTGTTTGGCAAAATGTTTTTCTGTTTGTCTTTTATGTGTGTAAACTAAACGGCTCGTTACCATCAGGAAGTGTGTAGGTTAAACTCTGCATTTCCTGTGTGCAGGTCAGTGCGCCCCCGGTTGACTGTGTACATCTGTCAGGAGTCTCTGCAGGAGAGCCCCCTGCTGGAGAGACACTGCACTATTGAAAACGGAGAACACAGGAGCTCCACTAGTTTACACGGTGAGGATCCTGCCTGCTGATCCAAAGTTTGAGAGTAATCAGCACAAGTCTGGGGGTCAAAAACCTTCTCTGCCCTGTTTCTGTGCAGTGTATCATGCTTTGTACTTGGAGGAGCTCACAGCTGCAGAGCTCATCCGAAAGATGGCCTCTGTGTGCGGCATTCCTCTGGGAACGATCAACCAGGTGTACAGACAGGGTCCTACAGGCATCCACATACTGCTAAGTGACCAGGTATGATCAGCACACATGGATGCTCCTTTACCAGTCTGATGGTTTGGGTTTTTCATTATCAATCCTGTTTAAAGTGCAAGCTGTATGTAACAGGCACTACAAAGAAGTTTATTAACGTGACACTGTCGCATAAAACCACAAAGTTGTTTGCATATTTCATATAGGCTACTGCACAAATAAATCACTGCAGCTCTAGCAACCATTGGGACATAAACATTACATTAAGAAGCTGCTGACAGTCTTCAAATTATTTTGTAAAGCCAATTTAAACTCCAGAAAGTAAAGAGTAATGGAGTTTTTTTGTGTTTGTGTTTTGAGCTGCGTTGAAGTCAAAAGTTCTGTTTTACTATAGAACGAACAATGTATTTAACAAAACTCCCCACTTTAAATCTTTTTATAGTTTTATGTTTGTTTTTAATTAAAACAAATTTAAACATCTGATTTTAATGCGCTGATGCACTTTTCTGTATTTTCTATAAATGCAATAAGATTTATCTGTATAAACCTCTGAAACGACCCAAAAAAAGGTGGTTGCATTAAAACATCAGGACAAAAAAATTGAATGCACCGTAAAAATATGAAATATAAACAAAAGTTATGAGAGGGCAAATAAGTTTAACCAAGTTTAATGTTGACTAAAAGGACTGCTAAATGTAATGAAAAACCCAAAGTGAGTCAGGGTATAGGAATACAACTATAGTAGTCCCTCGTTTATTGTGGGGGTTACGTTCCAGACGCCCCCCCCCCCCCCCCCCCCGGCAATAAGTGAAAATGCGCAAAGTAGCGACGTTACATTTATTTTAGTATTTATATATATTTTAAGGCTTTAGAAACCCTTTCCCACACTCTTGCGATGTTCTAAACTCTTAAACCTGTGTCATTTTAACAACATACGTATATATAACTACTAAATTTTACTCAACAGTTCTGCAGAACAGCAGCAGCTCTCGGTTCCGGTCCAGTTTGGTTCAGTTTCTTCAGACCTACCCTGCAGCGACGAAGCCCACAATGTTCTAAACTCTTAAACCTACTAATTTTAACTACACAGTACTGCAAAATGTTACTCGCCAGCTCTACAGAAACAGCTCGGTTCCGGTCCAGCAGACCTACCTGCCGGTTCTGCTTAAGTTCTGGTTCGATTCTGTGCAGCCCTTGAGCACCGAAATGCATTTTGGAGGGAGTTGAACTTTCGGATGGCCAGCATGGGACCAGACTGAGTCCAAATCTGGATTAACAAAGTCCCGGTGGGCTCCAGAGAGAAGCCGGACCTACAGCAGCGCCTCCCCGCTTTGAAGTTCTCATGGGCCAGCTAGCAGCTGTCAGATTCACCGATGAGTCTGAAGGTCCGGTTCTGCTCAGGTTCCCAGTGGGTTCCATGCAGCTCTCTGCATCCGCTGGATGCCGAAGTCACAGTCACTGAATAAAGAGAGACCGAACATTTTCTGATTAGATCAAAACTTTCCCTCTAGTGTTTCAGCATAAGGCAACAGGGCTTCTGGGCGGGGCAATGTTGGCTTCTGGGAAATGTAGTCGTTATGAGCGGAGATGCAGTCAGAGTCAGATTCTTTATTGTCATTCGCACCACATGTGGTGGAGCGAAATTATGTACACAGGGTCCCAGTTACCACCAACAATAAAATGTAAAAGAAAAACAGTGATAACATCTAAGATATGAACTAAGAAAAACACCAACTAAATAATACACTAAGCACTAATGGCGTAAAAACATTATGTCGAACAGCAGCATGAACATGAGCAGGAGTCTGTGTGAGCAGATGAGCACGATTGAACACATCAACATGAAACAGATCAGCAGCAACATGAAACAGATTAGCAGCAACATGAAACTGATCAGCAGCAACATGAGATTTTTTTCACAGTGATTATACTGATTAGAGGTTCATGAATCTAACAGCCCCAGGGTAGAAGCTGTTCCTCAGTCTAGTGGTTCTACACTTAATGCTCCTCCACCTCCTTCCTGAGGGGAGCGGGGCAAAAAGTGTGTGTGCTGGGTGAGTGGGGTCCTTCATGATGCAGGTGGCCCTCCCTGCATCTGGAGGTGTAGATGTCTGTGGTGGTGGAGAGACTGACTCCAACAGACTTCTGTGCAGCCTTCACCACTCTCTGCAAAGTGTACAGTATACAGTGTAGGCTTATTGAGAGAAAACTACAAAATGGCTGCGCCTGTCTGAAGTATTTTATTTTTTCGTTAACTTTTTACTGTACAGTATCCTGTATTGTCCCAATCACTTGAGAAATATTAAAGTTGACAATCATGTCCTGTACTTTTTTTGTGTTCAATCTTACTTTGAAAAACGGCAAAAGAGCGAGTCAGCGAAAGTCGAACCGCAAAGTAACGAGGGACTACTGTATCAATAAATACGTCATACCTCTTTTGTTACTGATAGCCGTGTATAAATTTTTTATTTTTTTTTTTTTTAGTTTGACGTTCACCAATTAACAATAAATAACATTTTAAATCAAACATTACCTGGTTTTACTTTTGAAAGTCTAGAATTTTCTAAAATGGTTTTAATTTAGTGTTTATTAATGAACTCATTCCAAACCTAAAGGCAGAACAGACGGCCAGGGTTTTGTTTGTACTGTTTGACGGTGAATACCTCTTCTGTCTGAACCTCTCTGATTTGCATGCTACTCGGGCGCATGATGGCGCAAACACAGCGCTGCTTTACTTCCGTCTGATATCAGAGTTGTTGCTTCAGTGCTACCGAAGCAAACTCAAATATCTCTCTGTTTCCAGATGGTTTACAACTTAAATGACGAGAGCTGTTTTTTGATCAGCACTGTCAAAGGTCAGTTAAAAATACTAAAATAAGGAACTGAGTGTTTTAACGAGCCATGGCGTGTTTATTTGACAAGGATTTAATGTTCCTTTTCTCTCGTGTGTGCGCTTCCAGATGAGTTTGGCGAAGGACTTCATCTGATCATGAAGTAGTGAGGAGGACAGATGGCATCACTAATTCTCCACCCTCTGTTTTGGAGCGGCAGCCTCCTCTCATCCCTCTCTGCACGCCTCTACTCTTATCGCTCTACATCCTCCCGATCTCTTTTAATAATAGCTCGATGGAAAGCAGAGTTAAAGCCATGTAAATGTTAGCATCTGACATGGGTGTGTCCACTGTTTCATATTGAAAACATTATTAACAGAGGGTTAGTTATAAGAAGAGACGGGAGGATACAAGATAAGGGAGTAGTCGACAAATTCATGTATTTTGATCTCGTTTTGTTTTATTCAATCGTTATTTGTATAAAGAGGGGGATGGATGGTGCTCTGGCCTGCGAGAGATGAAGAGTTTTCTTATTGCTCGTTGCCCTTCCTACACAACGCACACAACCAGCACTAGGCCAGTATTTGATTAACGTGTACTGCTGAACAGCATGCGAATCCGTATGAAGATGCTTACCAGAGAAACTCACCTTTGCTTACCTAACATTCTTAATGGGGATGTCTTAATTTATCTGATCAGCTGAGCGCGGTGGCCTGTAAAGTACTCCGACTAAATGAGTGGAAGTGCCCTCATTTTGTGGATTGAGGCGCTTCGATTTGTTTTTTTATTTTAGATGATTTTATGATATCTTGCCACATAGTCGGACTTCATGTGATTTGCAGCCATATCTCTCAGCTCAATATGTCCTGACTGACTTGCTCTTTTACCGTTTTTAGTTGAAGCTTTATTTATGGGTCTGCTGTTTCTGTTGCTCTCAGTGAATTTGCTCGTTAATTTTTTTTCTGGTGCCATACTGGCTTATTAGATGAGTCTCTTTATTGCATATAGAGCGCATACACTCCGTTATCCTTTCTTCTTCTTTGTGTGAGGACTTCAAAACACCAGTTTAAGAGAAATGTGCTTCTGGGATTTTGGCCGTACATGTGTGAGAAATGTTAAAAACCTCTTTCTATCCTGTGGAGGATTAACGCCAATTAAAAACCTACTACAAAGTGGACCAGAAAGGTTACCAGTCGGCACTTTTTGAGAGATAACATTGACATGGTGGCCATTAGAAGCACTTAACTAACTGGTGTTGAAGTAAATACATTTTGATGCTTTGTGCCCCCTGATTCCGGATCCCGCTTTTCTGCAAACATCCCATCATGCATCAGGCTAATAGACGTTCATCTGCGATGTTGCCTGGTTTGAGTAATCTTAAAAATCATGGCCTCCATCTTCTAATCTTATCATGTAGCTGAACACGGATCGTTGTGTTTCAAGAGCTGTTTGAAAAGTGGCAGGAAATGTCGCAGCTCCCAGGTCTCTGCTCTGGTTTGGTTGATCAGTTTTGGCTTTTTTTTTTTTTTAAAGGAGGTTACAGTTTACAGTTCAATGTTGCAGATTGTGCGTATCTTTTTTTTTTTTTTTTTTTTTTTTTGCAAAGCTTATATTATGTCGGGAGCTTTTCCTGTTGTTATGAAAAAGTTGTTTAGCTTGCTGTTTAGTAAAGAGCATGTGAAAATCTGGCAGATAATTTGTCAATGAGTGTACCCCTCCCCCTTCTCCTTCATGATGGAGACCAAACCTGCACTGAGACCCCCCCCCCCCCCCCCCCCCCCCCCCCCCCCCCCTCTACTTTGATGTGTAGTCTGTAGTCCTACCATCCTACCCAATCCGCTTATCAGATGAGAACGACATGAAAAAAGCAGCTGTTTGTGTCTCGTCACTCACCAGAGCCAGGACTGTAGCTGTGCGACATGTTTACAGGAAGAAAACTTCATCAGCTCCTTCATTAGTAACAAAAAGCAGTCTGGTGAGCACAGTTCTGCTGAAGCCCTGAACCGGGCGTCTGCCCGTCAGAGAGGTGACCACTGTTAATGTCAATTATGCTTCTCGTGTGCACAGGATCATATGCTGGAGATGTACACAACCACGTGCTGGGAATAAATGACTTCAGAACTTTCTCTGGTGTCCTGACTCATTGTTCTTATAGAGCAAGAACCACTGCAAGCCGGACCTGCATTTAGTTTCACCTGAAAGACCCTGTGTTGACCTGTATATGACAAATAATCAATCAATAATCAGCAGTCCAGAAAAATCTGTTCTGTTTGAAAAAAAAAAAATTCCCAACAAAAAAAAACTTATTTTTAGGTCTTGACACTCCTGTAGTCTGAAGACGATATACAATAGTTGCAGTTGCTTAAACTCCTCAAGACTGGAGTTATCCATTCATGTATTAAATTACTAATTACCAGTAATAAAAAGTAATCCTTCATAATGAAGAGCTGCCTGTTTTGGCATTGCTTCATTTATGATACAATCTTGTTCAGACTGGGAAAAGAGGAACTAATGTGTTGCTGATGGAAGTGGGTAAAAATAAAAAACTGATATTTTAACTGGCAATTTGTTTTAGAAAATCAAAACTAAGCAAATACAGGTTGGGACAAAAAACAATATTGAATTACAAATCAGTGCAACATATACAAAGATACAAAAAGGAAAGGAAGTTGGGTTTAAAGAAAAAAACTTGCATCAACTAAGACGCAAATCTATTGGTATACAAGAACATGAACTATAATGATGTGAAAAGATAAAACTACTTTTGTCTCTAAAAATAAAGACTCCCATTCATGAGGTTCTGGATTTAAAGTCACAAAAATAATACATTTACATCAGAGGATGAGCTGCGATGGATGAAAAATGTTATTTGTGAACAAAACATTTTTTTCCCTAAAGGCTTCAGAATTTGTCCAAAAAAAAAGTACTTTTAACAGTTTTTGAACAAGTAAAGTTTAATAAATGTTTACTTATGTTTATTTTTATTACAAAAAATACACATTAATCATTCTCAAAACATTTAGTTTTTCTCAAGAAATTATTGGAAAATTCAGTAACTTTAGACTTAACACAGATGAGGAACATTTTTAATTGAGAGAAGTAAATGAGATTTCAAAAACCAGAATTTCATATGTAAATGTTTATTTAATCAGAACGAATAAGTAGATGTAGGTTTGGAAATAATAGACATATTTTACTGTAACATAAACTTATCTATTTCATGTTTTTAGCTGCAACTTTAAAAAAGTCAGCTTGCTTATATGATTGCAGTCAAACTTAGGTGAACCATAATTAACTGATTGTTACTCAAAACCAATAACTCAAAAAATGTGACAATTGAAGATCAGTTTCAAAACAAATAATAATTTTGAACCATTATGATTTTTAATCAATAATTTTAAACAACGAGGAGGAATATGAAGACAATAACCTACCAGCTGACTTGTAATGTTTAATTCAAAAAAGTATAAGCAAAATAAATAAAAAAATAGTATTGTTATTGTTTTTCTTTTTGTGTTGATTTCTGAGACACTTCGTCAGTTGGACTGAGTCTGCGCAGTGGGGCTTCCGTTACCCATGACGTCATCGACGTTGCTTGTCAGAATCAGGAAGTGGGGTCGTGTCGCTGTTGTTTGTGTTCGTTGCTCCAAGATATCTTTGCCTGTTTTATTGTTTTCCTGACTTGTAGATATCACATTTACGGGCCGACATGGCAACGTTTATTTCAGTCCCGTTGAAGAAATCGTCTGAAGTGGAGCTGGTGAAGCCGCTGTCGAAGTTTGTCACAGCCTCTTATCCAGCCGGAGAGGAGCAAACCGAGTACCTCCGCGCCGTGGAGGAGTTGAACAAGCTCCGCAAGAACGCGCTGGGAAGGCCGCTCGACAAACACGAAAGCTCCCTTGAGATCTTACTCAGGTATAAAACGTACTTTAAAGCACCTGAATCAGCTTCAACAAAGTAAAACTCGCAGGAACCTTTTTTATCTGTGGTGTTGAATTAGCTTAGCGCGCCGCACCCACAGCCTGTTAGCTTGCTAAAGAGCTAAAGTTGAAGCTAAAGATGGTAACAAAAAACGACTCATTGATTAGTTTAAGCCGTCAAGCTCTTACGAGGTTAAACTATTCACGTCAGTTTAGTCACGGTTTTTTATTTAACCTGGGCTCGTTGTAAGAACTCGAGCTTTAGTTCAAGTGGTCAAAGAGGCCAAACAAATCATAAAACGACCCTTTATGTTTCACAGACTGAATAAAGGTTCCACAAACAACAAGCTCTTTTAAAGATTCTATACTGAGTGAAGGACAGCTTGGCCCAAGTTTGACAAGAGTGCGGATTGTAGGTTTTAGTTAAGAGTTTAAAGTAGTTCAGATGCCAAACAAAATGTGGAATAGCCCTTTAACCCAGCTATCGAATCAGATGCTGATATCCCCCCCCCCCCCCCCCCCAAAAAAAGTTCAAAACAAGAATTCTTCTTAATTCCTACATTATACAGCTTTCTCAAACTGATATTTAGCTAATAGTCCTGCCTTGAGCTATGCTTTTGTCAGTTTAAGCTGATAACAGTAAACTCTTTAACACAGTTCAGCTGTGAATCTGTGAAAGTCCCTTCAGTATTCCTGTCAGTCTGTGTCAGTGGCTTTGCATAAAGGAACTATTAAAAAAAAACAATAGGATTCATCTGTGTCTAACAAAGTTCCTGTTTCCTCAGCTGAATAGGTGCCTCCAGCTGTTTTATCTTTATGCTTTTTGTCATACTAATAATTAATTTGGTCCAGTCGAAAGGCAACAAAATCCTCATCCACCACTTTCACATCTAAGGTATCTCTCACTTATTATTAACCGACATTTCTGTTAGACGTGCATGCAGACTTTGTACTTTCTGATCTAACTACCGATACTTTGCTTTAAATGGGCTGCTCTTACGTTTTCTTCGTTGTGGTGAATCTTTCAGCTTCAGCACCGCTGTTCCAGCAGTAGGATTCCTTTCAAACGAAGGTTATTGTGTACAGTGTTGATAACATTTGAGAGTGACGGGAATGACAAAGCATTACTGATCAATGAGTCATGTTTCGGTTCAGTCTTGTGATTCCTGACATGTGCTGGCTGTGGCACATTTAGTTATTTCTTTTATTTAGGACCAGTTAGGAGTAAAGATGATCAGGGGTTTTCTTTAAGGGCTCCACGGCATTTCTGACTGTCTCTTGATTTTAAACTTCCTAAAACTGATGTTCTTGAAGTCTAACATGTATTATTTTTGTCCTTATTACATTTTACCAAAGAGTTTTATCTGTAAACGCTTTGAGGTTGTTGCAAATGCCTGATTGGCACTGTGGTTGAGGCTCACGTTTGCAATGAATGGACCATTATTAATGACTGCTACCATGACTGCTCCTTGGCTCTCTGTTAACTCTATGCCAGGTAGTCAGAGCGACGGGCCTTTCACAGGCAGCCAGAAACACAGCTGAAGTTTCACCATGGTGACCGGTGTTTGCATGGGACGTTGTTTTTCCCCGAGACACACCTCATCTCAGCTTTCCCTTGTGCACTTTTTTCAGCTCATATTTACTAAAAACTACCTGTAATATGAATAGAAATACCTTTTTTTTTTTTTTTTTTTTTTTTTTTTGTGTTTGTGTGCTTTTCAAGAAATGCAGGATTGATTTACCAAAAATATGGGATTCACAAGTATTTTTGTGACTGTATGCTGTCATATCCAAAACTAGAGTGTTGACATTCATCACAGACCCATGTACTGATCTGACAAAGAGCTGAGAAGCTACTGACTCGGTGTTGTTGGTGCACACGCGCTTCAGTGCGTTTGATCACCTTGGTATTTTTTTCCTGAGTCACTGTCAAATGCCTGACGAAGCAGTTTCCTCAAACCACAGACCAAATATCAGTCTGTAGCAGGTAGTTTCCTTTTTATTTAAAGGTGACATTTTTCTTCATTTCAAGTTCTTCGATCATTAGATGACATGATCTGGGTTTATGCATTATCCAAAACATGGTTTTATTTCACTTTTTTCTTACAGATACTATGATCAGTTGTGTGCAATTGAGCCCAAGTTTCCCTTCTCTGAAAACCAGGTAATGGATCCTACACACAACACGTATGGAAGTGAATTAAAGCTTAATTAAATGACTTGAGCAACAGAACATGGTTTTGTTTCTGCAGCTCTGCCTAACCTTCACATGGAAGGATGCCTTTGATAAAGGATCTCTGTTCGGAGGCTCAGTCAAACTCTGTGAGTGACGTTTCTTATTAAGCATGTTTGTGTGTGTCTGCAGTGTGCTGTGCTGTAAACCGTGTATGCAGTTGGCTGCAGAGGGAGAACAAGATGCTGCTATAGTAAAAAGACTGTTTAGTCTTTTCCCTTCATGTACATTTAGCCATGTTTTTTATTGTGTGTACGTGTTTCTATTTTTGGCTTTTGTCCAACGACATGAACACGCACCCAGTGAGAAACAAAAGCTTTCTAACATGCAACATGTCTCTATATCCCTCTGTGTACTCAAACAGGCTTGACAAGGTGTCATAAAGAATTAAACTGATATTAGACACAAGTTCGGGTTCTTCATGTGATACAGATATCTGTTCAGCACCTGGAACGTGACTGATACGACAGTGGCAATTTTTTTAATGAACTTTAGAGAAGAACGTCAAGTTGAGAAACAGAAATGTTGACTGGACACGCACTATAGACTAAATGCCAGGATATTCCTCCTTTACTTTGACAGTGAAATGGTGTTTATCATTTATTTGTGTTTGTGTTGCAGCTTTGGCCAGTTTAGGCTACGAGAAAACGTGCGTGTTGTTCAACTGTGCAGCTCTGGCCAGTCAGATTGCCGCGGAGCAGAACATTGATAACGATGAATGCCTCAAGGCTGCTGCCAAATACTATCAGGTGTGTGTAGTACCACTAACAAGCTACCGTTTTTAAAAACTCAAGACATGGAACATTTACATCATTTCTAAACAACAAATATTCCTTTCTTTCTTTGTCTTCCTGACGATTTTCTGGAGATTGAAATACAGACCCTTTCCAAAAAATTTGAATATCTTGTAAAAGTTGTTTAACTTCCATAATTCCATTCAAAAAGTGAATCTTTAATAGATGATAGATTCAGGGCCCACAATTTAAACGATTTCAAGTATTTGTTTATTTTTACATAATTTGGGCTTCCAGCACATGAAACCAGCAAAAACAGGATTTCAAAAAATTTGAATACTGTGGAGAAATCAGCCCAAATGTTGCAGGACATAAAAGTTTTAAAACTGAGTGTGACACTAATCATTTACTAATTACAATCATTTACTAATTTACAAATCTGTTGGACACCTGGCAGGGTCCAATGCTGACATGTTCCTGTTGTTAGTTTTCTACATTTGTCTTGGAATCTAGCTGTTTTTATTGTTTTGTTACCTTTTCCTTTTAGCCATCCTATTTGTTAAAAAAAAACAAAAAAAAAAAAAAAAAAAAAAACTGTAGTATGCTTTTTTATAACTGTTTATTGTTGTTACTGTTGTCCATTGTTGTCATCTTTCTTTGTTGAAATCAGGTCTCTCTTGTAAATGAGTCCTCGAGGCTCAATGGGATTTACCTGTCTAAATAAAGGTTGATTGATACTAAACTCAAAGCACCTTCACAGGTTTCCCCAAGTGTTATTAAATTGCTTCAGTTTGGTTCAATTGTCTCAGTTCTGTTCAATATGAGGAAGACTGCTAACTGGCCAGAAGGCCATCATTGATACCCTCCATAGGATGGGTAAGCCACAAAAGTTCATAGCTAAGGAGGCTGGCTGTTCACAGAGTGCTGTGTCCAAGCATATCAATGGAAAGTCTAGTGGAAGGGCAAAATGTGGCAGGAGAAGATGCACCAGCAAAAGAAATGACCGTGGGCTTCAGTGGATTATGAAACTGAGAAGATTCCAGAATCTGGCAGAGATCCAGAAAGAGTGAAATGAGGCGGGAGTCACAGCTTCAAAAACCACCACATTCAGACACATCTGGGAGATGGGCTACAACTGCTGGGTTCCTCAGGTCAAGTTACTTCTGAACCTGAGTCAACGTAGGAAATGTCTCAACTGGGCCAAGGAGAAGAAGAGCTAGGCCGTTGGCCAGTGGTCCAAGGTTCTCTTTTCCAATGAAGCTAAAGTGTGCCTTTCATTCAGAAATCAAGGTCCAAGGGTTTGTAGGAAGAAGAGTGAAGAACAGAACCCATACTGCTTGAGGTCCAGTGTGAAATATCCACAGTCAGTCATGATGTGGGGTGCAATGTCTGGTGCAGGTGTTGGTAAACGCTGCTTTCTTAAATCCAAGGTCACCACAACAGTCGACCAGAATGTTTTAGAGGACTTCATGATTCCTTCTGCTGAGGATCTGTATGGATGCAGATTTCATCTTCCAGCAGGACCTGGCCCCTGCCCATGCCGCTGGAAGCACCAAAACCTGGTTTGATGCCCATGCCACAGTGCTTGACTGGCCAGCCGACTCGCCGGACCTAAATCCATTGAGAATCTATGGAGTGTTGTCAAGAGGAAAATGAGGCACCAGGTCATCAACAAAGAAGAGCTGACAGCATCAAGGAGATCTGGGCTTCCATAACTCCCAGTCAATGCCACAGGCTGATTGCTTCAACGCCACGTTGCATCGAGGCAGTGATTAAGGCAAAGGGATTCCCAACCAAGTTGAAGATTGACATATTGTTTTGAAATTACCATATTTTGATTGATTTGTTGTGATCCTAATTTCTTTATTTTTTCTGCAAAAACTGAGTCGTGTGGGCTGATGTCTTCACAGTATTCTAATTTTTTTTTTTTAATCCTGTTTTCGTGGGTTTCGTGAACTGAAAGCCCAAATGATGTAAAAATAAACAAATAAATACTTGAAATTGTTTAAATTGTGGCCCCTGAATCTATCATCTATTAAAGATAAACTTTTTGAATGGAATTATGAAAGTTAAACAACTTTTCCAAGATATTCTAACTTTTTGGAAAGGGTCTATATGTTCAGATATACAGATTTTACCTAAAGGTACTTTCATGCCTGTGGTGTTAGAGGTGTTTATCAGAAGTATACAAGGTTTAAAAAGTGTTCCACTTTCTATCAGCACATGTAGCCTTGAACTTAAGTTACTTCATAACATTGTTTATTTACATCTGAAGCTGGAGTGTTCAATACTTTTAAGTGGTTTGATTGTCTGCACCTCACAAAGTCCTTGATGTGCTGTACTATTTTTTTTTTTTACTGTCGTAAATTGAATGCTATGTGCAGGAAAATCTTGCAAGTGATTGCAAAAAACGGGATGAAAATTTTATACTATCTCTCCATTAATATAAAGATTTGTTTTCATTGTAGAAATCATCTTATTTATTTTTATGTACTTTGCACACTGTAGTTACAGTCTGACAAATCTTAAAGGTTTACTGAGCTTTAGAGCACATGTTCCTTTACAAATCAGATCCATACTCTGATTGGACTTTTCTGCAGATACAACTCCCCCTGTGTCTTAATAGCCCTAATTTGTTATTCATGTGTTGATATTTTACAGACAGCTTTTATTTAGAGAGCGATGTCGTTTACACACGGTCTGGTTTCTGTTTTCACGCCACTTTTAGTGGATGTTTGAACAACAAAACTCATGTTTGATGTCGTGTCTCTTCTTCCAGTTGGCCAGCGGGGCCTTCAGTCACATTAAGGACACGGTGCTCTCTGCCCTGAACAGAGAGCCCACCATGGACATCTGTCCTGAGACCGTGAGCACTCTGAGCAGCATCATGCTGGCCCAAGCTCAGGAGGTCTTCTTCCTCAAAGCCACGTCAGGTACCAAAACATTTCATCCCATAATGAATTATCGCTGTGTGTCTACTGCTGTACAACAAGTTCATGCTTTAGCCCAAAAATGCACATCTATGCAGTTCTAAGTTTGAATCTCTGAGGCAAACTGTGTCACTAATTTAAAGAGTTGTTGCACTTCACATTAGTAGTTTCTGTAATTACACACCAGTGCAGTTTCTTTTTATCTTAAGATTAATTTCAAGGCGTGACAGGAGCCATTTTGATCCAGGCTGAGCACAGCCTCTGTCCCAGTTCTCCGTTCCAAGTTGTGGGCAAACTTTTACAAAAAAAAAAAGTGTTTTGTAGGTTACATCATAAAATAAGCCCTTGTTAAAAAAAAAATAGACCTCTAATCTGCTTAGTAGTTATTTTTATTGTTGTAAATGAGTTTTCACACTTTGTAGAATGTGAGGCTAACAGTCATGTTTTCTCACTGTGGCGTGGTGTTAAAACATCTCTGTGAAGAAAAGTCTCAGCTATCAACAGATTCACAGCTGCTGCACAAGATGCCTTAAAGTACGACCTCATGTTGGTGATCAGAGCTACAGATGAGCGTGTAAAGAGTTGTTTTAGGGAACTCAGCTTGAGAGCGCACTGATGTCTGTTTTTGTGGTCAATTGTCTAAAAGTGTCTTTTCTCAATAGACAAGATGAAAGATGCTGTGATTGCAAAGCTGGCCAATCAGGCTGCAGATTTCTACGGCGAGGCCTTTAAGCAGTGTCAGTTCAAAGACACCCTTCCTAAAGTAAGTGGCTAAAACACAAAGTTCACACGATAACCAGCAGACAGCCCAGTCCAGTCGGTCGTGCGTTCAGCGCGTCAAGAACATACTTTAGATTCTGTGGTGTGTTGAGTGTCGTGTGTCTGGGTTTTGTGTTGAAAAGGTGATGCAGGTTGTGGGACTATTCTGTTCTCCCTGGGTTCTTACTGGGAATTGTTGGATTTAACTACCTAGTGGGAAGTTAACAAGATACTGGATGTGGTGTATAAAAATGGAAAACTTCAAGTTATGAAACGTATAACAAAACCTTAATTATTACTTATTTTATGTCTTTGTGACACTTAAGTTGTCACTTTTTACAGCTTGAAGGGATTCTGATAAGTGTTTCTTCAAGATTTCTCAAGATCTTTTTTTTTTTTTTGTCTAAGCCACTTGATTCCAACCTTTGACCTGTGTGGGATGTTTCTTTGAGCTGTAGCAGCTTTTGCTGAAAGGTTTAACACTCATGAGCTCTTGTGTTTTTTCTCTCTCGTCTCCTTTTCTTCCTGCATCCCTTGTGGTGGTGGCGACGCTGGTTGTCTGTCTGCGTGCGCTTGTGTTGTGTTTGCACAATCCTTGCTGCACGTGCCTGTTTTTGAATGGCTTTTGTGATTTGACTTCACTGATGTGCGTGTCCCTGATTTTGATTTGCCTTGCTGTTGTATGCGTGTGCGTTGCACATACGTGTTTGTGTGTTGCTCTGTGGTTGCCTCTCCCTGGTTAGTATTTTTATTTTCAGGAAGTGCTGCCGGTCCTGGCAGCAAAGCATTGCATCATGCAGGCCAACGCCGAGCTGCACCAGAGCATCCTCGCCAAACAGAAGAAGCGCTTCGGAGAGGAGATTGCTCGTCTGCAGGTACAGATTTCAAATGTTTTATTTTTATTGTTTCACACTGACAGGGGGATGATGGGTCACCATTACCTTCGTACAATCTAATAAGTGTTTGAACTCTGCAGCACGCGGCTGAGCTGGTGAAGACAGTTGCGTCTCGTTACGACGAGTATGTGAGCGTAAAGGACCTGACTGATAAGATAAATCGAGCCCTCACTGCAGCCAAGAAGGACAATGACTTTATCTACCACGACCGTGTGCCTGAAGTCAAAGACCTGGAACATATCGGAAAGGCAGCGCTGGTCAAATCTTCCACCATCACACCTCCACTCAGTCAGAAATTCACAGGTAGGACGTACATCTATAGAGACATCCATCATTGATTCTACATTTAAACATGACGATTAAGTTCATAACATTAAACTGATGAAAAAACTAAATTATGCACTCTTCTTAAACTGACAAATTGCAAGAATTGAGAAATTTTCACTTGTTTTCTCTTAAAAATGCAGATTATTTAGAGTTCAGACAAATAATGTCATAAGTGCCAAGTGGAATTTTACAAAAGAAGTATGAATAAGTGACAAAGGGAAACAACTTGAATTATTTTTTTGTACAGAACTAAAGTTTCTGCTTTTTCTTGTGCCCAAGTCATGTGATGTAAAATACCAACAGATTAGGATTTTGGACTGAAACTTGGACCACTTCCTGTTAATTTTTATCCTGCTGATTGACAGAACCAATATCAGAATCATGATGAGAGTTATCTTCAGCCACAATTTTCTGCAACATATTTTAATCACTTGTCTGACGACTGCTAGTCTCATTTAAATATCTTTCACTACAAAGATTTGACCACATTCTTGTAAAAAAAAAATGCTCGAAACAACTTTCACATTTAGGTTATTCTCTGTAAATCTGATCACGTTGATCTTTTCAGATTTGTTTGAGAAGATGGTGCCCATGGCAGTGCAGCAGTCCATGAGCTTTTACAGCCAGAGAAAAGCCGAGACGGTGAACAGACTGGTGGGAACAATGAGGGAGGCCACCAATCTCTGCAACGGGTTAGTTGAAGAGCATCTGTACAAGTTTCCCTGCAATCACCTGCATCACGCACTCTGAGCGACTTTTTGACATTAACAATTCATGACATCAGAGTGCACCAGGTACCATTAAAACGTTGACAAGAGCACTCGTTTGCTCCGATGAGTGCTCGACTATTATTTCATCCAATAGAAGGATGGTGTTGAGTTTAATTCACAACACGTTTGAAGGCTGGAGATAATTTAAAGCTGTGTTTATAATCAAAATGTGGCTTTACAGCGAGTGTTTTTAAGAGCAGCTGATGTTTGAGGAGCTGTAATAAATGACAGATAATCTGAAACTCTGTTAGGGTGTTGGCGTCGCTGAACCTGCCCGCTGCTCTGGAGGATCTGTCTGGAGATTCTATCCCACAATCCATTGCTGAGAAGGCCAAATCGATTGTGGGGCAGGGAGGATTGCAGAGCATCGAGAAGCTAATCAAAGACCTGCCTGAGCTATTAACTCGCAACAGAGAGATCCTGGATGAGGTCAGTGAAGTGGTCCGGGCGTTGCCACTACTTATTGTAGCTGTAAATCTGTTTCTAAAAGTAAAGACTGGACTTTTAGAGCTGCGGGCCTCAGACAGCATGTTTGTCATATGGCTTTGCTTTTCTTCAAAGAGCAGCTTATGAAATTAATGCTGCTTAATTTAATTTTTGGATTTTGTGATTGTTGGTGTTTCTGCCAAGGCTTACCAGTGAAGCACATTAATGCTTAACAGCTCCAAATCATCACTCATGGCGTAAATCCCAGATTAGGATCATCTCTGAAGTCTAATCTACAGATCTGTGGGCCAACATCTTTCAGTCCACTAACTCCAGCCAACCCATTTTTTTAAACAGCTTGCTGACAAACAATTAAACTGACAAAAGGGATAAACAAAAAAAACACATACAATCTGTTTCCAAGTTTTTTGTCAAACTGTAAAAAGTCCGAACAGAAAGGCCCTATTTTTTCTTTTAAAAAGTTTTTATGTGCATAAAGCCAAATTTTAATAGTAAAAAGTGCAAATTTGCTGTCCAAAAACAAACTGTTAGTATGTTTTAAATAAAATTTGAGATTTATTTACTGGGGGTGTAACGAACAGTTCCCCCCCCCAAATCATGGTTTGTTACATACTAATATCTTTATTATGGCGTTAAAAGAAGTACGGTCTCACAGACCGTGTGTTGTAAAGTTTCATAAACTCCAAAAAGGTATCTCTTTCTTGGATTAAAAATATTACAAAAAAATAAAACAAAGTGTTTAGTTCAAATTATTTGACACAAACTTAAAGCAAAATAAAAACCAACACAGTTCCCAACGTGAACTCTCACCTAGCTTTTCAGCAAGTGAGAGATGGTGTGGGAAAATGATTTTTGACATCAGTGATCTCAAATAAATAGACAAATGGCCTGCCATACAGTTGAAAGTGCTCATTTTATAATTGCTTGCCCCAAATCCGTTGTCTCCACTGCTCCTGATCATGACCTGGGAACTTTCCCACAAAGCTGAATTATTCTGAATCAGTCCTTCCTGCTCGGGTCGATTGAAGAGTTTAGACTTTATCGTCCTCCGCTTCTTTTCTGAAGTGAAATAAAGTTAAATGAAATGTGCGCCTGTTTATAGATGGGAGCGGTGACTGACATGATCTTTGTGTACTTCTTGATGCTCTTGCTAAATGTTTAAGTACAAATATATGAATTTATTTTCTGTCCAAAGCATTTGTAGCATCAAGTTTCTCAAAATAAGTTAGAAAAAAATAAAAGGGAACAACAGCTCTACGTTGAACTTGGATTAAAACACAGTTTTTGGTTTTTGTTTACCGTTAGTGTTTGTGACTGCTCATCTGTCTTGTTCGTGTTGGTTGATTAGTCTCTGAAGATGCTGGACGACGAGGAGACAACAGACAACGAGCTGCGAGCCAAGTTCAACCAGCGCTGGAACAGAACCCCCTCAGGAGATCTGTACAAGCCCCTTCGTGCAGGTGCACGTCTTACTCACGTCTTCTGTCTTCTATCTGCGACCACCATCACCTTATCTGCTCCTCCTTTTCATTGTTCTTCTACTCAGAGGGCACCAACTTCCGTAACATCCTGGACAAGGCGGTGGGGGCTGACCAGGTGGTGAGGGACCGCTACAACACACAGTGTGACATGATCGCACTGCTGTGTAAACCTGAGAGCGAGCTCACCGCCGCCATCCCCTCCGCCAACCCGACAAAGACACTACAGGGCAGCGAGGTGTGTGTGTCCACACGATGCAAAACAATCATTTTTACTGTTCTGGTTTCTTGTGTCTAGAACAGACCCAGAGGACGTTTTGTGCTTTATGGCTCTTTTTCCTCCCCCCTTTAGCGTAGCCCCATTTTTCTTGCAGTCTGCTGACTTGGCATCGTGAGTCACTGGGGATCTTAAACAACTAAGCAAGCAGAACTGGGAAAGAACAAGCCAGAAGTTTATGTCTCTCCAACTGTGCTTAAGTGGGGAAAAAAAAGATGATGAGAACGCATCCTTTCTTCTTCTTCCTCCTCCTCTTCCTCCTCAGGTGGTGAACGTGCTGCGCTCCCTCCTCGCCCAGCTGGATGAGGTGAAGAAGGAGAGGGAGGTCCTGGAGGGAGAAATCAAGGCCGTGACGTTCGACATGTCCACTACGTTCCTGAAGGCGCTCGCCCAGGACGGAGCGATCAACGAGGAGCAGCTGTCCATGTCCCAGCTCGACCAGCTGTACGGCAGCTACAACCAGAAGGTGCAGGCCAGCCTCAGCATGCAGGAAGAGCTGCTGGGACAAGTTCAGGTACACCAACAAACCCAACGCTTGTTGTTTTTAGGTCATGGTGGTCTCTGTTGCTGGGGGAAAATAAAACCTACATGATGTAAGCAGGTGCAGATAAAAGAAACAGAAAAAAAATGGTGTCATGTGCAGAAAGAGTTTACAACTTACTCTGCATGAATGCAAAAAATAAAACATGTCTGGTTGTGTGTTTTCTGAAACCCAATTGTCCTTGTAGACGTCCCACCAGGAGTTCGCAAGCCTCAAACAGTCCAACAGTGATGCCAACCAGCGGGAGGAGGTCTTAAAGAAACTGGCTTCAGCTCACGACAGCTACGTGGAGATCTGCAGCAACCTGCGCGAAGGCACCAAGGTACTCGCTCAGCACATCTGCACACCATCAGCAGGAACTCTGAAACTGTTCCCCTTATTTATCTTTTTTCACTACATGTTTAGCAAGCCAGGTGATTAGCTTTTTTTATTTATTTTTTAAATCTCGCCCTTTTGTCCTTGTTCTCCTCAGTTTTACAACGACTTGACAGAAATCCTGCTCAAGTTCCAGAACAAATGCAGCGACATCGTTTTCGCTCGCAAGACGGAGCGGGACGAGCTCCTCAAGTGCGTACAGTCAGAACAAAACCAACTGCCTTCTCGCGTGTCTGATGTATTTATTTGAACACAACTTGTTTCCTAACGTTTTAAACGTCGTATTTAAGATGTAGGAATGCCGGTCGTGTGCAGTAGATGAGAGGAAAAGTGAAAATGAAGTAAACTCTGCAGCACGGCACCGGTTGTGAAGTTTAAATTCTTGTTTCAGAGAGCTGCAGCAGAGCATCGCTCGGGAGCCCAGCGCTCCGGCCTTCAACGTTCCCGCCTATCAGAGCGCCCCTGCTGCCCCCGTCTCGGCCCCAGGTCCAACCCCTGCTCCCAGAACAGTCTTTGTAAGCGCCCGCAGACTGAATCTGGTTTACAAACCGCATTGTCTTTGTGTTTTCACACGTCTGTTCTGTTTTAGCCCCAGCAGCCTCAGCAAGCTCAGCAGCCCCAACCGAAGCCCCAACCTCCTTCCAGGCCACCACCCCCAAGCTTCACTCCTCAGGCAGCCGCACCCGCCAGCCCAGCACCCACCGGTCCTCCCAACAATAACCCCCCACCTGTGGCACCAACCTCCCAGGCACAAGGACCACCTTATCCCTCCTACCAAGGCTATCCAGGGTGAGTTTTCCTTCCAGTCATCCAAACACCTCGGGTGCTGTAACTCTGACACAATCTGATTATAAATCTATAAAATACATTCAGTAAGATCATTCATCAGTAATTTTCTGAAAGAGCCACATCTTAAACAGCTGCTCTCATTAGTTGAATACATTTTTAGTCAACAGCTCATATCTCTGTTGAATAATGTAGGTTGACATCGTTTAACTCTTGATCTTACATTTAAAGGGCATTTATGTCCAATATTTGGTCTGACGTGCACTTCACAGGCAGTATGTCACAGGGCTGCTCTTCTGTGACAGAAAACATCCGAGGCTAATGTTCTGGTCTAAAACCAGACCGACGATTAACCATTTTTGAAAAACTGGTTAAGTTCTGCCTATCTTTATTTAAAAAGTGTGCTCCAGCAGATTAAATCCTAAATGTGGGGGTGGTTGTAAAGGTAGGTTCAAATCACATTGATGGGATGTGGGCAACAAAATAATGTGCATGGCCAAGAATGCAGCTTTACAAGCCGTGCACATAAAAATAGGCCACGATTTTTAAAAACTATCTGTTAAAACCAACTTGATGGTCACCCAGTTGCAAAGACCCACACCCTCTGTGAGGCTGCAATGAAAAATGACCTTTTTCTTACAGCTTTCCCTCGATTTGTGTCACCAACAAGTCTCAACAGTTACAGCCTCTTTAATCGTAGCTGCAACACTCGTTTCAAACATGCAGTTTCTCAAAACATAGAACTCTGTTTCTGTGAAGGAGTAAAGTTTCCAACACCATTTGCACAGTTACATAAAACAAGCAACACAAAATGAATGACAGAAGTTCTCTGTGAAGCCAGCACTGGCACATGATGCACTGTTCTTCTTACCCTAGCATGCATGTGAAAACCAGAGAACCTAAAGAAACCCAGAGAAAGTTTGAATGCAGTGAGGCAGCATCACTTAACCAGCTGCTCCATGGAGCAGTTTGAGTTGTAAAACCTACAGGGATTAAATAAAGTAGCGTTCTGGCACCATGTGGATTACTCCAGGTGCTGGTCTATAAATCTAACTGGCTGTGCTTCATGTTTTATTGTCATTATTTACTGAACTGCTCACTCTACTCCCTGAACTCCTGCACTTCTTTCTGCACTTGGACTTATCTTTCAGCTCTGACCACTGGCACCTTAATGTGGCAAACAGATCATCTGGAATAAAAGTGTCTGTACAACCGAATTATCCGAACATTAAATTTAAGATGATTTACCTACGAGTGACATAAAACGCATCATAGTGTGAATGTTTATGAAACATTTACACTACTGTGATCCATTTTTCTTCAGTACATTTTTTGGCATGGTTCTCGTCCCACAGTTTTCAATTTATTTCAACAAATCAAAACGTTCAGCTCTTTCAGGACAATCCTCCTATGACTTTTGGTATTGGTGCAACTTTAGCTTTGTGATATATTTAGCCTTTTCTGCCACTTTTTTTCTCATAGAACATGAATTGAGCTCATTTTACATCCTTCTAATCTTTACATCTGTTTACAGCCATTTACTGCTCCTTTCACATTTTGTTCTGCTTCAGCTACTTTGTGCAAATTCAAACTTTTTTCCAGCTAATTTCAGCTGTTTTGTGCTCCTTTCAGATTATTTCAACTAACTACAACATTTTTGTACTTCTTCTAACTTCTTTCTGCTAATTTCAGCTTGTTATGCTCCTTTCAGCTCATTTCTGAAAGTTCCAACTTTTTCTACTATTTCAGCTACTATTTAGCTGTTTTTATGCTAATTTAAGCTTTTTCAGCTAATTCCACATTTTTTTTGCAGTAATTTAAACTTTTCAGCCTAATCCATCAAAAATGCGCTCTCTCCACTTCCTTCTTGTATTTTCAGCTTCTTTCTGCTTTTTTAGCTACTTTTCAGCTGTTTTTTTAAATTAAATCTTTTTTCAGATAATCTCCACTTTTTGTGCTAATTTCTGCTTCTTTCAGCTTAACTGGGCAAACGTGTTCTTTCTGCTTTCTTCTGCTACTTTAAGCTTGTTCTACCTATTCAGCTACCTTTAGCTAATTTTAGCTGTTTTCACATAAATTCAAGTTTTACTTGATAATTTCTGCTACTTTCAGCCTAATTAACTTTTGTGTTAATTTCAGCTTATGTTCCTTTTAGCTTTTTCTGCTCTTTCAGCTACTATTTAGCTGTTTTATGTTAATTTTAGCTTTTCCAGCTAATTCGACATTTTTTTACCTTATTTCAGCTCTTTCCACTTCCATCTGGAAATGTGTTTTCTTTCTGCATTTTCAGCTACTTTTTTACTAATTTCAGCCTTTTTTGTGATAATTTCTACTTTTTTAAACCTAATTCAGCAAATATGTCTTCTTTTTGTTTTCTTCTGCTAATTTAGTCCTTTTCTCCCATTTCAGCTACATTTCAGCATGTTTTTGTGAATTTCAGCTGTTTTTCAGCAAGTTCTTCAGCAATAAGTATTCACACTGCATTTTCACGGGAAATTAAGTTTCTCTAGTTGAATTAGAGTTTTCTCTGATTGTGTCGTCCAGGTTCTACCAGATGCCCATGGGCTACAACCCGTATGCGTACGGTCAGTACAACGTGCCCTACATGCCCTACCAGACCACCCCAGGACAGGGAGGATACCCAGGAGCCCCTCCAGCAGGACAGCCCTACCCTGGCTACCCACAGCAGCCCCCCCAGCAACAACAACATCCGTACTACCCTCAACAATAACTCTCCTCTTCAGCCCTTCGTTCCTGTTCTGACACGTTAACACCAAATAAAATGCGGCCTCAGCAATAACACTCGGCCTCCATCAGCCCCTCTTCAGCTTTGCTTCCTCTCACTAACAGCAGCTTTAGGAAGCGAGATCTCTGAGCTTATTTGCACTTTTTTTTTTTTATCTAAAAATTTTTCTTTATTCCTGTATTTCAAAAAAATAATTTTCACGTTTCCCTTCGTTTTATGTTTTCTGGATTGAACTTTCGCTCATCGTTACCTCGTTACTCTCTGTTCTTCTTACGGTTTTTGAGTTTTAGTCGAGCCCTAACACGTTTTCACCGATGCCTCCTCACTGAGCTGGACTGCTGTGCGTCTCATGAAAGGATCCCAGATGTTTGGGGTCGTGTTTGTCACGTGGGTTAGTGGGTGGGCCGTCATTTCCAATAATTAATTCACCCACCTAATCAACCCTCACTGCTTCCGAATCGACTCTAATCCTATTTTTGTAATGAATACTGATGCCTCATGTATGATTATATATAAAAAAGAAACATGCTGTAGGTTTTCTATGACTGCTGTGATTTCTGCTCTTTCTTTTCTTTCAGCCGGGGGAATGGGGGTTTTTACAATCAAAGGCTGTATAGGTGGGAGAAATTGTTCTAGTATATAAATATATGTATAAATAAGACTCTGTATGTGGTTAACCAGAATACTGTGTGCTGCACTCTTCATGCTCTTTGTTTTTTTTTATTCCTTATCTCTAATGTGATTAAAACGAAAACAGAACCGCCTTTTTGTTTGAAGATGTTTCGATGGTGTTGAATGTGAAGCAGCCAGTAGGGGGCAGTCCTGCAGCTCACAGGAGAAGCCTCACCTCACCTGCTATTGTTGCTCCATCTAACTAATCGAACCACTGTTTGACCCCCCTCCAGCTGGGGGGGGGGGGGGGGGGGGAGATCCTATTTAGATGACATGCAAATTACGTTGCAGTGAGGTCGCGATCTCATCCAGTCATATTTTCCCTGCAGGTGATTTCTCTACAGACGAATTTCATCCTTGGATATTTATTCAGCGTCAGGAGACACTAATGATTCTGTATATACCCTTCGTGTGTGCGTGCGTGTGCGCGCGTGTGTGGCAGATGGCAGCACAGTGTGATGTCTGGATGGATGCACGGAGATGTTGGCAGAAAGCTGCTGGTCTCCTGCCTGCATCCATCACTCCACCTCTCTCCGTTCTCGTTGTTCCTCCGTCTTTTTGTTTCGTTCTTCGTTTTATTATTGCCACACTTTTCGCCGTATTGCAGTGAACATTTTCGCCCATCCTTTGCTCTCTCTTCCTCGCCCCGGTTTGTTTTCCTCTTTGTTTTTTGTTTTCATCCCCTCCCTGCGCACCACCTGTCTTTTTCTATCTTCAGCTGCTCTCACGGCTCATGGGTTTTTGCTCACCGTTTGTCCGTCCTCGCCTCACACCGTCCGTCTCCTCTCCTCAACATTACGTCAATCTCCGGTGTGCGCTTCATCTCTGAGAGGAGAGCGAGAGTCACGCACACGCACTTTTAATCAGATCTAACAGCTCCTACTGGAAGTGACACAACACAAAACTGCTGCCATGTCCCCCCCCACCAACCCCTCCACCCCCGCCCCGCCTCACTCTATCCATACACCATGCCTTTGCTGCCAAAGCCAATTGTAGCTCTGGATATGTTTATCAAAGGTGTCTGTGCATCTCAGGCGTTTAATTTTAACAAGACGTTCCTCCACCGGAGGAGTGTCATATTTTAATTGGTCTGAAGGAGAATAAAGGCAGTGAACGGAGCACTGCAGTGACAGGTATTAATTACCTCCTGCATAACGACTCCCCAATCTCACATTCATTGGTACTCTCACTATTCTTACTCCCCCACTTTTTTTTGTGTCCTTCGCTTCCCTCTCCTCCTCACCATGTGTTTATAACGGGGCTGAATGGAGGCTTTTTCTTTGGCTATGATGTCGATAATTAAATAGACTCCATTAGGGACGCTCCGTTTGTCGTGTTGTGCGCAGTAACTCCTGTTAATTCGAGAACAAACTGGGGAGGAGGCGCACGTCGAGTCAAAACGTTCGCACCTGAATAGGTGTCGCGAATGAATAATTACTTCATGCAGCTGTTCAACAGCTTGAGAAGATGACGAAAGCTACCGAAGAGCCACCACATGGCAGGAGGAATGAGTAAACTGTAGTGAAAATACTTTGAACAGTTTATATAAAATATATTTGGGTTATAGAAGTAGTTCAGGTTAAAGGACTAGCACTCAAAGTTTAGCTCCGTATCTGTAAAACTGGTTTATGTCAGGTGTGGCGGCCATCTTGAGTTGGTTTGACTCTTACTGAGCAGTCCAATGATTATTTCAAGATCTATTCACAGGTTAATGAGATATTTTGCTAACGCTACAGCGACAGACACAAGTAAAAGGATTGTGGCAACAGGCAATAAAATATCTATAAATATATATGTGTGACTAAAATTGACTGTGAAGTTCATGAACTGATAAATTTTGAAGTTGTTTTGGGACATCACTCTGGTTTTGGCTGCACTTCATACGGTCAGAATTAAACTTTTTCCTCCAAACTGAGGTTGTTCTGAAGGCTATCCAAAACAGGTAAGATACTACTTGTTCATAACTGCACAACAGAAACACACTTCCAATAAAAGTCAGAATGCTTTTAAGTATTTCTGTGAGTGAACTATGAAAAGTTAAATCTCAAGTTGCTAATGAAGCAGAAATTAGCTAAATGGTTTTTTGGGGTTTTTTTGGATTAATTTAAACTTTTTAAATCTTTTGTACTTTCATTTGATATGACTGGTCAACTTTCAGCCCAGGCGTTGCTCACCCAAGTCGTCGTGTTCGTTTTCTGATCGTTTTACCTTCGCTGTCCTCTGCGCCCCCCCAGCCCCCATTTTTTCCCGCCCTCCCCTCAGAAGCAGCATGCCTGAAATAGCTCTGATTGACAGGTATAGAAACACAGTTACTATAACAACTACCTCCTGGCTCTCATCAGCACCCTCCATCCTCCCTCCCCACCATCACCACCTCTTCTCTTTTCAATTTCACTCTCCCTTTTTTTTTTTTACCCCCTCACCATGTGCATGTGTGGGCGTACATGGGGGGGGGGGGGGATTATGAAAAAGAGCTCGACTGCAATATTCCTTCACACGGAGATGTGTGTGTTGCAAAGATAGAGGCCTGGCACCAGCTATTGGATCTAACCCGTGTGGGTGAGGGGATAGGCGAGAGTGGGAAGATGAAACACGCTTACACAACACGGGCACATATAAGCCTTTTATATTTCTTTTTCGTCTCTCCCTTTTTTATTTTGGTGCCTGTGTTTCTGTCAGGTTGAGCTGTTTCCACTTGTGTAACGAAGTCGGTCCACCGTGCCGGGTTCCTGCGTGCGAGCGTGGGCGTCTTTGCGCACACATTTGTGTCAACGAGGCCACCTGATATAATGAGTGAATTTTAAATGGGATCTATAGTGACATCAGGGATGCAGAGAGAAGGTGCTGCAGACTAGCATCACTGGCGCTACTGGGCCAGACGTGCACATTTGCATACGCAGAGAGCCAAACAGAGGTCAAAGCTATGTTTTCATTAAAGGCCCGGCTCCTTTATTCCTCCCAGAGCTTTGGACTAAAATCGTCTCATGGAGAAATGACTGATTTGTAATCACCGAGATCAAATGTGAAAGACGTCAACTTTTAGCCGAGCGTGTCAAACTGACTGAGTTATAGCCATTTTTGTGCAGCCATCTTGAATTGGGTTGAATTCTGCAAGTTGCATTAAATCGGTCCAGTGCTTCATGAGACACATGCAGTCAAAAACATCATCGCACTGCTTCGCCCGTCGACTGTGGGTAATAATGATGTAATTTACTTTTTACCCTCAACTTATCCCTCCTGTCAGATTCCTCCTCTCCTCTCCCTCCTCCGGAGTGTCCTTTTATCCCCCCGTCACTGAGTCGTCACACGAGGTGAGAGGTCTGAGGGAAAACAAGCTGCCAGGGTTGGACATGCCATAACAGTGCAGCACCTGTCAGGGTGTGTGTGTTTGTGTGTGTGTACCTGTGTGGGTGCATGAGCATGCAGTTGTCTCAGAGCATCTGTCATCAGGAGGGAGGGAGCGGGAAACATTTCCAGTCCTGCTTTAAAAACACTCCAGCCATGCTGTACTCTCTCTCTGTGCATGTGTGTGTTTGTGTGTGTTGTCATCACCGAGGCTTTCTCCTGAAGTTGCTCTGTCGCCGTATTGATTGGCTGTCTTGCTTTGTGGCAGGAAGTGAGACGCTGGCAGCTCAACACCTGTGTGACCCCCCCCTACACACACACATCCTCAGAGTTCTCTCTAATGATCTGAGCTCGGCTGCCGGGGTCTGGAGTGTGAAGCTGCTTCCTCACTTGGTTTATACCTGATCAATACATGTCCATCAGTGTCTGCTTCACACTTCCTGTGTGTGTTTCAGATCAAATAACAAGAGCACCTGTAGAAGTCTTCTCGTCGTCTTGTTGCAGGAGTCAGTGGTGGATCTATCGGGGGGTGTCCGATCCTGGTCCTCGAAGGCCATTGTCTGCACGTTTTACTTTTTTTTTCCCAACACACCTGTGTCAACGAATGAATTACCTCTTTCTGTAGAAGCCTGTTCATCACCCATTATCCAGTCAGGTGTGTTGGAGCAGAGAACATCCAAAACATGCAGGATAGTGGCCCTCGAGGACCAGAATTCCCCCCCCCCCCCCCAGATAAAGATCTTTTCTTTGAATGTCAAAGGTGAGACGAAATTTATTGTTGCAAGAAATGTTCACTTTAAAAAAAAAATTCAGTTTGAGTGTCAGTTACACAAATTACATGGAACAACACTTTGAGTGTTTTGTCAGCAACATAATGTTTTCCAGCCAGAATCAATAAAACTGGTTGTTTATGGTAATCAATTATTTTGACACACACACTAAAGACTGCTGGGTTATAGTTGCTGGGTTTTAAGTTGGGCATTGCTAACCACCACCAATCCAAGCTGTAACTATTTAAAAAGGCTCATTTTGGGTTGTTATTTCCAACTCAACCCTTCTTTGGCCTTGTTTCAAGAAATTAGTTATTTAAATCCATTTTTTTAAGCAGGAAACCTATGCTGAGTCAATCTGATGACCCAACTCGGTCGAGTCAGA